CAGACATCGTCGTCGTCGTCCTGCGCCCATCTCATGTACGATCAGCATAGCTCCGAGGAGGAGCTGGAGGTGATCAATGGGCCATCAGCGGTGGCCGCTGCCGAGGCAGCTGCAGCGGCGGCGGCGGCGGCTCATACAACAACAACCACCAGCGGCGCAGCGGCATCCACGTCCAGTGCATCGCGTCTATCGAATCGGGGCTGTGCCTCATCTCTCGATACGGAGGCGCCATACGATGAGCGTGCAACCACATCATCCAATTCGAAGCGTTCCAGCTCTACGCTAATGGTCGAGAATCGCAAGCGTTCGCTGGCACACAGTTCCGATGATGAGGTGAGTATTTACTGAGCTTTTCAACTAACGAGTAGCGAGTGAGAACTAACAAATGAGAAGGAATAACGAGTGCGCACTAATGAGTAGTGAGTGTGAACTATTTAGATAGACTAAGGGAGACCCCAGTGAGATCAAAGTAACGAGCGAGACGTAACGAGTAACGAGTGGGAACTAATGAGTTCGACTTAAGGAGTAACGAGTTAAACTGTAGAAGTAACGAGTGAGATCAAGTGATTAACGAATTAGAAATAACGAGTAGCGAGTGAGAAGTAACGAGTTCGATCAAAGGAGTAACGAGTAAAACCTAACGAATAGCAAGTGTAACGAATAACGTGTGAGAGCTAACGAGTGAGATTAGAGTAGTAGATGAGAAGTAACGTGTAGCGAGTGTAACGAGTAGCGAGTGAGAATTTATGACTTAGACTAGAGAAGTAACTATTTAGACTAAAAAAGTAACGAGCGAAACCTAACGAGTGAGAAAAGAAGTAACCAGTGAGAACTGAAGAGTAGCAAGTGTAAATTAACGAGTCACAAGTAGTAGCTAACGAGTAACGAGTGAGAACTAACGAATCTTTCTCCTTTTTTTTTACAGTTGCGCAACTCGCTGGAGCCAATATTGACGCCCGTGAACTTTCGCACATCGCCGCCATTGGAGGCATTTAAGCCAAATCGTAGCCATATGATGTTCCGCTCCACAACGCCACTGATATTATCGGAGGCCAGATGTGGCATCGAAAATATTAAATTATGTGATAATAGTGTAAATGAGGAGAACGGCGACGGCAGCAACAATGGCAACAGCAACAACAGCAGCAGCAAATGCGCCAAACTTGGAGCTGGAGAGGACGTTGGCAACGAGAACGAGCCGAGCGTTATAAAGGCGTGCAGCAGCTCGCTGAAAATGAGCAACAGTTCGCATCACATTTACCAGCCGCAGCCCAAATACAGTTTCCATTATAATAGTTCGCGCAGCAGTCCGGCCTCCACAACGGGCCTGGACATGGAGGTGCGTTCGGTTAGTCCGCCGGCGAAATTATTTCATTGCGCCATTTCGCCGCATCGTCGTCCCAGCAATAATGTTGCCGGCAGCGGGCAGCCGGCAACAGCTGGCGGGGGCGATGATGCTGTTAATGTTGCTACAGCCGCTGCCGCTGCCGCTGCCGCCGCCACACAGAGACTGCAGCGACCGCATCGGCCGTGTTTAGATTTTGATAAGATGCAGCAGGTGAGTCTCTAATGCAGAGCGCGCTAACAGCAAAAGAAAACAAAGAAAAGGCAGAGCAAAAGGAAAAGGCAAATCAAAGACTTTTTATACAAACAACAACAACAACAGAAACAGTAACAGTAACAGTAACAGAAACAACAACTGCAAGCTGTAAAAAGTACCTAAGCAGCCAGTGTTGATTAACAGCACAGCAATAACACTGGCCAACACAATTAGGCGCACACTACACGATCAAGCGGCCTGACGTCATGCAGGCAAACAATAAAACAAAAACCAAACCAATAACAACAACAACAACAATATATATATATATATATATCATCAAATCAAATTATGTAAAGCTAAACGTAATTCAAGTTTTAAACAGAAAATACGCTAACAAAATAACAACTAAACAATAGAAGCAGCTATTTTTTCACAATTTTAAACCAAAAATGCAAAACCGAGAAAAAAACAAAACAAACCAAAAGGAAAACAAAAAACAAAAGCAGCAGTTGGCAAAGCTTAGACATATATATATATATATATATATATCTGTATATACATGCATACAAATATATGTATGTCTATGTATATGTGTGTGGATAGGTGCATGTAACTGTAAATATTGTGTATTTGTGTGCGTTGAGGAAGGCATTTTGAAAATTGGCAAAAGCTACGCTGTTAGCAGGTATTTTAATTTTTTTAAAAAACAAAAACAAACAATATATAATTAATATAACATTAAAAAAAAAAAAGAAAAAACAAAATTAACAATTTGTGGTGTGATGTAGAACGCAGAAGACTCGAAAACTTTAAAGAGCAAAAAAAAAAACAAAAAAAAAATTATATTTCTATAAAAATGTGTAAAATGCAAAGCAAAAAGAAGATAACGAAAGCCGCTCTTGGCAGCTGCAAGAAGAAGAAGCAGAGGCAGAGGCAGAAGAAGCAGAGGCTGAATGAGAGCGGCTTGCGAGAGCAGCAGCAAGAAGAAGAAGAAGTCGTGAGAGAGTTTTGTGCAAGGAAATAGCGTAGCAAACACTGGGGACACACGCAAGACAGAGACGGCAATAGAACAAAAATACAAAACATGAGAAAAAATACTAAAAAAAAAAAATACAACTTTTGTATGCAGCAAAAAAACAAACAAACAAACAGTTAAATGTAACAGATGTAAAAAAAAAAAAACACACACACACAAAGCTATTTTATAAACAAACTAAAAAAAAAGAAGAGCAGGAAAAGGAAACACATAAAAAAGAGAAAAAAAAACCAAAAAGCTGCCAACACAAAAAGCATTCATTTATGCAAAACAGATTTCTGGATACAAAATATGATTGATTGATTGATTGATTGATTGATTGTAAAAGCAACAATTGGCAATATGTGTAAAAGTGTAAAAGCAGCATTCAATTTTCTTTGTCAACTTAAGCAGAAAACAAACAAACAAAAAACCAAAACCCATAATAAGCCCATATTCAATTAACAAAAAACAAACAAAAAAAAAAGAAGAAGCAAAACAACAACAAACGAAATAACAGTAATTTTGTGTGCAACCATAGCAAAAGCAGAGAACATACATTTTTAAGTACAGATATATATATATATATATATATATAGATATATATATATATTAAAGGATATTCAAAGTAAAGCTAATTTTAAATCATATTCAAAGCGAGAAGCAAGCAAAACATTTCTGTTCGAAACCCAAAAAGTAGTCGCATACACACACATACTTTCAAATAACCGTTACACACACACACACACACACACAGACACACACACACAGCAACCTACCAGAAGCGCATAATCCACACCACCAAAAAAATAAACTTCAACTTAAACTCCATCAAGGATCAGGCAGAGATCCAACAAGGCAAGGTACTAGGATTGCAGTTTTCAACATTTTTAATTAGACGAACAGCAGGAAAAACCCAAGAAATTATATATATAGTATATATATTTAAATGGAGAATGGAAGATATCATGGACTGAGCGTTAAGTGAAGCAACCGCAACTAGGTTCTAGTTTTTGAGTTCAAAGTGAAGGCAAATTGTGAGAATGAAAACAAAATAACGGCAAAGCACACACAAATCAAGGAGAGCAAGAAGCAGACAGTTATGGAGGTTATGTTGAATATTTTTGAGAAGAAGCAGAACAAGAAAAACAAAGAAGAGAGAAACAAGTTAAGTTGTAAACAAAATACAAAGATTTCATTGAGGTTCGGGCCAGCCTGGACTCTTATGTTGTACATAGTTACATTAATATTTACGATATATATTTAATATATATATATATATATGATTACTCAGTAACAAGATGAATGGGAAAAGCAAACAAACAGAAACCAACCTTAAGAATTAAGTCGATGAACGGTACAAGTGCAAAAAGAGAAAGAATTATTACAAAGAAAACTAAAAACGAGATGAAAAATAAAATAAAGAAATGCTCTGCAATAGTAAGCGAAAAAAAAAGAAACACGAGGACTTTTCATCTTCGACGACGGCAAACGAGCAAACGTCATGCAGTCTGAACGTGTGCGGCACACTTAACGGTAAGTACAGATATTCCGTTATTCAATTTGTTAACGCTTCATTTTTGTTGAGGTTATGTTCACACACTTTACAACTTTATTTATGCTTATGCATTTAATTTATATTGTTTTCTAAGCGCATTTTTTATATTTTAACAAATTACTTTCAATTGATAAACTTTTTGTGGGAATTTTCGACTTTCTCTTTGTTATAGTTTAATTCTTTGCTTTTTTTGAGGTTATGTTCACAAACTTTTCAACTTTTTGTATGTGCAGTTAATTTATCTTGTTTTTCTATTTCTTTTCACATATTTTAACAATTTACTTTCAATTGAAAAACTTTTTTTGGGGTACTTTTCGATTTTCTCTTCGTTAAAATTAAATGCTTCGCTTTTTTTGAGGTTATGTTCGCAAACTTTTCAATTTTGTTTATGTTTATGCAATATAATTTATCTTGTTTTTCAATTTCATTTGCTTTCAATTGATAACCTTTTTTTTTTGGTCATTTTCGATTTTATCTCTTCGTTATAATTAAATTCTTTGCTTTTTTTGAGGTTATGTTCACAAAATTTTCAACTTTATATACCTGCATTTGATTTATATTGTTTTTCTATATCTTTTCAAATATTTTAACAATTTACTTTCAATTGATAACCTTTTTTATTGGGAGTTGTCGACTTTCTCTTCGTTATAATTAAATGCTTCGCTTTTTTTGAGGTTATGTTCGCAAAATTTTCAACTTTATGTATCTGCATTTAATTTATCTTGTTTTTCTATTCTTTTTCACATATTTAAACAAATTGCTTTCGTTTGATAACCTTTTTTATGTGACTCTTTTCGAATTTCTCTTTATTATAGTTAAATTCTTTGCTTTTTTTGAGGTTATGTACACAAAATTTGCAATTTTATGTATCTGCATTGAATTTATCTTGTTTTTCTATTTCTTTTCACATATTTGAACAATTTATTTGGTCTGTTTTTTGCCTTCAATTGATAACCTTGTTTGGGATTATGTATCCACTCTTAGCTCTACTTAAGTTAATTACAAGCTTATTTTTCTTTCTTTTGTTCTATTTACATTCTACGCACACACACACATCGTAGGCTGTGTGTTTGTTAATACTATTTTGTGGAAACCTTTTTATTAGGCTATAAGCCCAAAATTTCCTGCTCAGCATCGCCGCATAGGGCTTTAGACTTGTTGTTTATGATCGCCTCGACATCCTCATCCTCGATTTGTTTCAATTTGATACGTTTCTTTGCCGCCGTCTCCGGCAACTGGGCCTGTCGCGCCGGATCGTGTATCCGTGTGTGACGCTTCAGATCGCCGGATACGCGAAACTTTTTGTCGCACACGCCGCACGCGTACGGCTTCTCGCCCGTGTGCACCTTGATGTGGGTCAGCAGATAGGAGCTCGCCCGGAATGTCTTGCCGCAGTACTGGCAGGCATAGTTCCGTTCGCTTGTGTGGATGCGTCGATGCACCACCAGCGAGTACTTACGCGAGAAGCTCTTGCCACAATATTCGCACATGTGAGCCTTCACCTCGCTGTGCCTGGAGATGATGTGGTATTTGAGATCGCCCCACTGCCGGAACTTGAAATCACATTTCTCGCACTTGTAGGGCTTGATGCCGGAATCTGAAAGGGAAAAACAATTTATATATATATATGTATATAGCCAGAGATCTGTGACTTGACTTCAGGCGGGTACATTGAAGAAATTGTAAAAAAAAAACATTCTCTGCATTTCTATGCCTATCCCAATCTCTATCCATAGAGATGATCCCCTTTGTCATATAGTTCCCCTGGAATAGATCGCAAAACTTGTTTCTTATATGGAAGACTTTTCTATCCTCACGAAAGTCTGGAATTACGATATTTACAATGCTTTTTACATATAGAAAAAATCTTATTTAAATCGGACAAACATATCATAGAGTTGCCATGGATTGAAAACTTGGTTCTTGTCCCGAAAACTATTCCTTCTAAGATCTTCAACTTGCTTTTGGCATATAGCTTAAATCGGTTCGCTATATCATATAATTCCTATTGGTATAATGCATATTATTCGCAATATTAAGCTTAACTATGCTTGTGACATATAGTCAAAATTCTCACTCGCATCGCATAACTATATTATATAGCTGCGATAGGAAGAATCAGACGAAAACTGAATTTTGATATGGAAAACCATTTTTTGTTAATCAAACTATGAAGACTAAACTGAACAATCTAGAGCTAAGCTATATGTACATATATATTCATCATCAACATCGGAAAACTATATAGAATAAACTATATATCGTATAACTATATAATATAGCTGCGATAGGAACAATCAGACAATTGAGCTCTTATATAAAAAATCATCTTTGTTTTGACAAAATTTTACAATTAAAAGCTGAGATATATACATAATCACAATCAAAATCGGAGCACTATATAGAGCATCTACCGGATAGTTATATTATATATATAGCTGCCATAGGAACAATCGGAACGAAAATTTAATTGTTATATGAAAAACCTTTTTCGATTTTACAAGAGCTGAGATATATATACATATATAATCATGATCAACATCGGAGCACTATATAGATCATCTATCAGATAACTATATAATAGATATATCTCATTCAACTTTACAATCAAGAACTGAGATGTATATAAATCACAATCAACATCGGAATACTTTATGAAGCTTCCAAATCTGAATACTAAACATGTATCAAGGGTAAACTCTGGCAAAGATAAAGCCGTTCTCGTGTTCGCAACAGACTCTGAGATACCCTCTATTTTTGGCGCAACTCCCGCCCCGACTCACGTGTGCGTTCATGCGCCTTGAGCGCGCTCTGCGTGTAGAAGGATCGCTCGCAGCTGGCGCACTGAAAGGCGCGCTCCTTGGTATGTGTATATTGATGGTACTTCAGAGCATTGTACGAATTGAAGTCCCGGACGCACTTGTCGCAGTGGAACTTGCGTTTCGCATCGTGCGCATCGTCGCCGGCGGGCTTCTCGTCCGTCTCCATTTGATAGCTGTCGGCATTGTCGTCCGTCAGGTGCGCTGCAGGCGAGGAGTTCGAGCTGCCCGCTGCGGGCGCTGCGGCGGCATCCACATCCTCCAGCTTAAAGGACTCCGAGCTGAGCATCAGCGGCGAACGCTGCAGCTGCTCCACGTTGGGTGTGGGCGTGGCAGCTGCCGCGGTAGCTGCTGCTGCTGCTGAAGCTACCTCCGCCTCCGCCGCCGCCTGCGCTGCCTCCGCCGCAGCTGCCGCCTCAATGTAGCTCTTCTTGTGGCCCATCTCCAGCTTGGGCTGCACCGTGGGCTGCTGAAAGCTCAGCGTCATTTGCTCCGCCTCCATGGGATTCGACGTGTTAGTTGCAGCTGGCTGCGTGGGCGTCGGCGGCGGCGGCGGCTCGCCGGGCAGCAGCAGTCCGGAGAAGGCAATGTCGGAGAAATTGTTATTGAACCAGGGCGCGCGCATGCCGCTGGCCGTCAGCTCCAGATCGACCAGCTCGTCGCAGGTGTCCTCAATGGACACCTTGTCGACGACATTGCGTATGCCCTCCAGCATATCCTCCGTGTCGCTGAACTCGACATCGTCGACAACGGGCACAGGATTCGCTGCGGTCGCATTCGTAGCGCCAACGGGCGTCAGCTTGTCCTCGGCCTTGTGCAGGGACATGGCATCCGCATGGATAACCATGTTGACGCCCACAGCGTCGACAACATCGTCGCCAACATCCACGTGGCTGATATTGTGAAAGTTCTCGAAATTTAGCTGCACATCGTGAAAAACTTGATCTAGTTTGGCCTGCTCCTGCTGCAGCTGGAAAAGAAGATGCGGGTGAGGATTAGCAGCTCATTAAAGGCGAGGAGAGAGCGCAAAGATAAAAGCTGAGCTGCGAATGCTGAGAGGCGGCAGCAGGGATTCCTGGACTGGACAGAATGCAACTTGGAGCTTCTTCCCGCAGGACAGTTAAACTTCTCCAGGCAGCGCTTCTTCTAAGGAAGAAGACATCCACTGGGATGTCCATTTAGCAGCATCCTACTTCTGCCCCTCGTTGTTGATCCTTCCACCATCATCTTCTTCTTGTCCGTCTTCTCGTTCGCTTACCTTATCCTGCGTGGACAGTCCGCACATGTCCAGCGGCTCCTTTTGTTGTTGTTGCTGCACCTGCTGCTGCACCTCTTGTTGCACCTGCTGCTGCTGCTGCTGTGGCACGACCAGGCGCTGCTGCAGCGTGCTGCTCGGATCGTAGTGCTCCTTGAGATGGGCATAGAATTCGATTTGTGTGTGCACCGCATAGCCGCAAATTTCGCAGCTGTAATTGGCCACCGTCTGTGGCACCACATGATGGTGCTTGTGCTGCTCCAGCTCCGAGTCCAGCAGTGTGCCCTTCAGCTTGCGCGAGATGCGCTTCTTGTGGGGCAGCACCTTGCGTGCATTCGTTGCGATTGCATTGTGCCCGTAGAGCAGCTCGTCGTCTGTCGGCACGTCGATGGGCACCGGCACGGGCTCAATGGCTAGCGCCGGGTAGGCGGACTGTGCCACCTGCACCTGGGGCGCCACCTCGTTGCCGACACCGGCTGCTGCTGCTGCTGCTGCAGCCGCGGCAGCTGCACGGCTGAGGAAGCTGCTGTTCAACGTGAGAAACTCCACGTCCGACTCTTTGACGGGCGAGGCGGGCACTGCGTCCGCACGCGTCCCATTGGCCTGCTGTACCTGCTGCTCCTCCGCCTCCTCGACATGTTTGTTGACAAACTGGAAAATCGTATTGTGAAAATTGAGCTCCGGCGGCGTCAGCGTATGCTTTTCCACATAGCCAGCAGCGGTGCTGGCGGCGCTGTGTTGGGCCGTGGTGCTCAGATTGGTGGGTGCCTCCGTTTTGGGAAATACGCCCGTATGGTCAATCAGATCCATCATGAAATTGTTGTGCATCAGCTCCGTTGCCAGCAGCGTCTGTGCATAGATGAATATGCTTACAAACATTGGGTATATACATTTGGCGAATGCTTACGTGGTCGATGAACTGTTGTGTGTCCACTTCTTTGCGCTCCATTTTGTACGTTTCACACACAAATTCATTAAAATAATCAAAAAATAACAACTTTGAACTGCGCCCAACAAAAATCTAAATTGCAGAAATGCGAACAGCTGTTCGTGACTTGGCGTTAGAGTTGAGCGCGTGTCGTTAATCGATTAATCGATATGCAGTCGGGCACTTAACATGCGATAGTATCGCAAAGAGTATTGAGTGCAGTATTTTTTAATCGATATTTAAGTGTGTCCAAATTAAGTGCGTTTTTATGTGTGCCAGTTAGCTGCTGTTGAATTGGCAGCACTTTTTGGGGCGCGTAATTCGAATGCTGCGCACTTAAGAGAAAAAGGGGAAATACATTTTCTGAAAGGAAAGTCCATATGGGATAAATAAAGTTGTAATGGCAAAAAAGTAACAGAACAGCGTTAAAATATAATAAATTCATTTCTTTTACTATTTGAAGATCTGAATGTTCCATTTTTTTATATAATTCAATATTCTTACTTGAATATTAACAAGTTTTATGCTTTATTAATTCAATATTTAGTTGGTTTAGTGACTTCTTGTGAATTTTTAATTAAACAAAACTATGCAAAAACGAGACATTTAAATAATTATGTTTTAAAATTCATGTAAACTGGTATTTCTTTAAAATTGTATTGCTTTATTAATATGGACTCCTTCGATCCATCATATTAATACTAATTTCTATGAAATATTATTGGCTCTCTTCTGTTTTACTGCCAAAATTCGGACACCTTTTCGACTACTTGAATGCTTTAATAGTCACGACTCAATCGACAGCCGCATCAACTTAATGCACATCAAAGCGCATTATGCCGACCTATATACAAACTTCGGTTGTAGAATTGTTGCCCGGAATTGCATGTCAAACAGTTGTTTTTTTTTTTCTTCTGTTTTTTTCGAGCGATGGCAATGATGGATTTGGATGTGTTATTGTTATGATTCGAATGAATTCGATGCGTAATTGCTTGGCACAATATCTAAACAAGCCGGAACGGCTGGTTTATTTATTTTTATACAACCGAACGAGATCAAAAGATTTACAACACAAGCCACAGCATCCACAATATTATATTGTCTAATAATTGTTTATTAAACATTAAAAGACTTGCACCAAATATTAAACAGCCCTCAAGTAGGGCGCAAAAAGTGCATAAAATTTTACGAGCATCTTTTCGACGTACAGTGAAACCATATGTTGAACAACCACCGACTGTCTGTCTGTCTGTCTAAGCCCTCTGATCCATTTACCATAAATATGTTGATATATCACAGCGCAGGATTAGCCTCCATATGGATGCATAAGCTGCGTATATTTTGGGGACATCTTACAGCTTATAAATTGCCAGCTCCCGCTGACACTTGAGACCGTGTAAAATATATGAAGTGTTAATTTGTAAATGATTGGAATGTTTATTGTTATGTTTGGGGCCCTCAATTGAGTGGAGTACTCGGTGGGGAGGGGGGGACTCGAGCGTGTTTCCATATGCTTGCGATACCCTGTAATTTATTGCACTTCCTACTCGTCTACAAGAAGCAACCTCTCGCAAATAGATAAAGAAACCTTTCTTTTAGACAATTTGTATATCTTTTTGTTGAAATTATTCACGCAGGTTCGAAAAGGAAACTCTATAACAAATATTGACTTTGCATATTTGTTGAAAATATTTGCCAGCATTTTTTATTTATTTATATATGAAGTAAAAACAAACTCAAAGCCGAAGCCAAACACACCTTTTGCCTGGAACCACAGAGAAAAATGTCCGATAAATAAACAAACCTCAAAACGAACTCGAAAAAGATTTCAATTGTTGTTGTTGTTATTGTTGTTTTCTGGTTTGCTTCAGGTAGCGCTTTGTCTGAGCCCGTGGGCGTTCACTAATTTTTTGGGCAACTATTTGCATTTCTCTAATGAAAAGATAATATTGATGCGCCACAGAATATCGAAATCTTATAAAGACTGTAAAAGCAAAACAATAAACAGCAACAGAATAGAAAAAAACATCTGCGAATTAATGGATTAAGAGACGAGAAGATGGGGAATTCCAGATCGATTTGTATCGATTGCTTGGCAACGGGGCAAGTTATCGATTATCGGAGAGACAGTATTTCGTGGGCGTAAGCTAGGCTCAAAATTTCAAGTCTCTAGCTCTTATAGGTTCTGAGATTCAGGCACGGACGGACGAACGGGCGGACAGACGAACGAACAGAGTCTGACTTGGCTAGATCGACTTTTCTATTGATCCCGATCGAGAATATATATACTTTATAAGCTTGCAGTTGCCTACTTGCGCCTCTTTCCACACATTTGCATAAAAAACAACAATTTTCTCTTATAATTCTCAATCAGTTAAAGCGCAACTCATGATGAACTTTCTTGACTGAAGAGGATTTAGTTTTTCTTGCTGCCAATTGACAACTGAGAAAGCACAAATCAGGCTCAAACTAGAAAAGGTAACATTTCCGCCAGCTCGTTAGAAAGTTGGCGCAAAAAAACTTGCAGAAAAAAGAAATACAAGTGCTTGGTTTTTTTTGAGGCTTTCGCTCTAGACAATACATAATGACATTATTATTATAAGCGTGCTTTTTTGTGGATACAACAAGAGCAGCATGTAAAAAATAATAAAGCGAACATATGACAGGGGCGGATGGAGGAGGCGGGAAAGGGGGCGGGACCGCCAAAGGAGCGTGGCGCAGGAAGCACGAAAGTGTCGCAAGTGCCTTCTTTTGTTCTTCGTCACGTTCTGCGGTGCACTCGCCAAGGCAAAGTAAAGTAACCAACGCAAACCAGCTACGGGCCTAAAGCAAAAGAGACCGACTAGTAAATACCCTGTGCCGTATGCCATAAGAAGTGTCTCCTTTAGTAACTTGATTGTTTGCAGTTCGATCTTCTTAAGATGTTCCAGGCATAAGCTTGACAGCCAAATGTGTGCGTATACTTAAGCACAAGACTGTTAACTGCAAGAAAATTAGTTTTTTTACGATTTTGGGTTATATTCATATTCGTATCTTACAAGTTGTCAAAAAGTGTGAAAGCTTACAAGCAACATTATAGAATATATATTAATTTATTCAAATTTTAGAATTTTAAAATAGAGGTAAGATTGACAAAAGTGCTAGATATAAGAATTTGTTGGACTATAAAATTCCCTGTATTATATGCAAGTGAAGTTTCGACTTTCCAGAACTGAACTCATTTTATGCTCAGCTTTTATTAAAGGGTTTCTTTTCTTGAATTGTTCCGTAACTTAAATGTAATATATTCTGCGGCTGCAATATAATTAACAATTTCCGAAAATTGGCGTCTCTAGCTTTCATATTTCTCGAGATATGCTCAAAAAACCTGAAACTGAAAATCGATATTTATCGATTTTTTTGGAAAAAATGAGCTGCCTTTCATATAGCTAAAGTAATCATACATATCTATATATCTAGAGTGTATATCTTTACTTTGAAGAGTTGGCGACACAACATACCCCCTTGCTTTGGTTACAGGGTATAACAATCTATCGATGCACTGCGCTGCCTCAAAGAGGAAACGGAAACAGCCACAAAATAACAACAACAACAGGAACAGGGGGCAGGGGGGCAGGTGGTGGGTTCAGGTTCAGTGCGGGGCTTGAAGAGCTCTGTTCGATCGCTGGAGAGTTTATTCAGAAAAGTTGGTTGCTTGCGGGCGCAAATTGCTAAACAAAAGCTGTAAAATGTAACAAAAATGCAAAAACAAATAGCAACAACGAACGAGGGGGGCCGGGGGGCGAGGGGTTGCTGTAATGGGCGGGGGCAGGTGGGGGTAGCTGTTGGTGCTGCTGCTGCATAAATATTGTCAGCAGCAGCAGCTGAGCAGCGGGGCAGGCAGCTCTGTCGCTTGCCTCCTTTCCTTACTTTTTTTTTTTGGCCTCTGGCCCGTGGCTGCAGCTTTTTGTGGCACACGTTTTTATACGCTGCCCGAGAGAGTCCTTTAACTATCTCATGGCATGTGCAAGGCATGAAGACAGCTGCGAATAAAGTATATGAAATGCTTGCATTCGCTCACAGTTATTCAAGATTGAACATGAGTTTGAACCAGCAACTTCACCCAGCTCAAGCTTGTGCCGCATTTGCCCTTCAAGCGAATTGAATATTGCGAAATTTGTGCAACGCGTCTCAAATGAATTTTTATAAAGAACTTTGAGCACGAGTTTGAACCAGCGACTTCACCTAGTTTATCTCTGAACCACATTTTCCCTTTAAGCGAATTGAATTATGCAAAAAGTGTGCAACACGTCTCAAATGAATGTTTATAGAGAACTTTGAGCACGAGTTTGAACCAGCGACTTCACCCAGCTAAATCTTGTGCCGTACTTTCCCTTCGAGCGAGTGGAGAATTGTAAAAAGTGTGAAATACGTCTCAAATGAATGTTTATAGAGAACTTTGAGCATGAGTTTGAACCAGCGACCTCACCCAGTTTATCTCTGAGCCACATTTTCCCTTCAAGCGAATTGAATATTGCGAAAATGTGTGCAACGCGTCTCAAATGAATGTTTATAGAGAACTTTGAGCATGAGTTTGAACCAGCGACTTCACCCTGTTTATATCTGAGTCACATTTTCCCTTCAAGCGAATTGAATATTGCGAAAAGTGCACATGTCTCGAATGAATATTGATAAAGAACGGTGTGTATGAGTTTGAACCAGCGACTTCACCTAGCATATGTTGACAAAGAGCTTTGAGCATGAGTTTAAGGCCAAGCGGGACACAAAAATGATTCATGTAATCGCGTATTTTCCGCTCTAGCGCATGGAATTTGCACTTTTATTTAATGTATCTTATTTTAGGGTATTAATACGTTCGTTGTTAATTGTTTTTGCTTGTTTTTTCCTTTCTGTTTTATAATTTTGTGCGCATCTCAGCGAAAAATCTGTTGACGCAATTGTCACGTGCTGTGTTGTTATTTTTTTTTGCTTTTACTTTTTTGTTTTCTGGTTCGTTCGTGTCCTGGCAAAGGATGTGCCAGCGGGCAAGGCACGCGCATAGTTTTACCTTCTCCCTTCTCCCGTCTCGCTTCTCTCTCT